AATTAGCGTGTTTTCGATATTTAAAAATTTTAATGATGAATTTATTTATCTTGTCCCAAAAAAACCAAATCATCGGCCACAACGTCACTTATGTGTAAATAAATTATCCAATACATTAAATTAAAGCAAATAAAACAAACGGGAAAAACAATTCTAGAATATTTATCAATGTCACTAGGTGTTATTCCCATTAATTTATTAATGTCTTTTCCTGGGTGAATTAAATGTTGAGGGGCAGGTGTAGCGGCTTCTTCATCCGCACGTCCATTTATAGTATTTTCGAGGGTACCTCCTTTGGAATGAGCTTTTGGATCGTGGACCTTAAACCTCACCTGATAAAAAAAAAAACAAAAAAACGTTATAAACATATTTTTTTTTTTTAAATATAAAATATTTGTATTGATTTGTTACCGTTTGTTTAGGCCCCGAATGGTCTTGTTCACCGATGGGCCCCGGATGAGGACCGTGTTGAGCTTCTAAATTGGCTTTATTTTTTTGTTCGGCAATTTTTTGTATCGCCATAAATCTACTTTTTCGCATTTGAATTCTTTTTGCCATGTAGCCTACAGTAGCGTATTCTATAATTTCAATCGAATCATATGATTAAAACAAAAAAAAAAAAAATCAGATTTTGTATAAGGAAAAAGAGGTTCGAATTCACACCTAATAACGATGCAAAAACCATAACGAAACAAGTTCCCAAATAAACATCGATACTTTTCACATAGGATATCTTAGGCAGGGCTGCATTGGTTGAAGACATGAGTGTGGTCATTGTCAGTACAGTCGTTACACCTAAAGCTACACGTGCAGGGGTTGCATTTCTATTTAGCCAAAAGCTAACCCATGAAATGATAACAATCAATCCAGATGGAATGTAAATCTGTATGAGGTAGTATCCCATTGATCGGACGAATTGTATTTCACATGCTAAACGAGAGTAGTTTCCTGAAACGTAAATTTTTACGTCATCAAAATTTTAATTCCTTTTTCCCCAAACTAATGCTAGTTTTTTTTTTTAGTTATTTAATTATTTTTATTATTATTCTAATTAAAACCAATAAAATAAAATGAATTATTTTAATTTTTTTTTTGTGTGTGTAGAATCGAATATTTTAAACGTTTTGCTGAAATAAACAAATTTTTAATTAAAAAAACTTTTAATTAACTTTTTTTTTTTGTTTTTTTTTATTGAAAAAACGAAAAAAATTTGAAAATGGGTCTGAGATAAAAATTTAAGTCAAAACTAAAATTATTATTTAATAAATAACACTTATTTATATTTTTAGTTAGATAGTTTTATTATTAATTTTACAAAATAATTAATTTTAAATATCGTAATTTAATAATAATAATAATAATAATGGTAATGGAAAACGTTGTTTTAAATATTAGCGTTTTCAAATAATTGAATTTAAAATTTATTTGAAAAGTTTTTTTTTTTTTTAAATAATCATTGATTAATTATTATTATCTTTTTAAGGTTTGAGTAAAATTTTTGCGAAAAGTTTTTAGTAATAAAATTTACGATTGTTTTTTTTTTTTTTTTGATTGTTTTAAATTTTAATTTTAAAATAATTTAGGTTTTTTTTTTTTTTGAAAA